CTGCTCAAAATGGAGTCACAGCACTCATTGTTTTTTCAAGTGCAGTACTATCGGGGAATAGCGACAACAGTCAAATATCAACCATTTGCACCGAAAATCTATTCTATAGTATATAGTGGGAAACAATGGACGTTTGGGTAAACGATCTTCTTTTGCTAAAGTGAAAGAGCTGGATGTTTAACCGCTGACTTGAATAATAGTAAGATCTTGAATAGCAAGAAAGTAACATAGTTTGTCCATATGATTGCATACTTACAGAGCTAGTCTACAAGATAAAGCGTGGTGGACGCTCTCCTATTCGTCCCTCACTGGAGACCGAAGATGAGCACAACTCCAGCCTTACACTGCTTGTGAAAGATTGCTGGAGTGAAGAAGTTGAAATGAGACCATCTTGCGATCAACTGAAGTCGCTCATCAAGAGCATGAATCATAACAAGTTTGTCGATTTTTGATTTCTAAGCAATGAGATAAAAAATATGTCGCAAAAAAGAACATGATGATCTTTGTTGTTCGTTGATTGTCCTGTGCTTTAGTCCTTTGGATTTGCTCCTGAAGTGAAGGTGAAAAAACGCGGGCTTGGAGATTTTTTGCGTACGTTTGCTAGTTGTTTCTCAGTATATTCTCAAAAAGCTATTCATAGTTTCCAAAATATGAACCAAAACAGTGAGAGAGGTATCTGAGAAAAAATTCTTTTAGGTCCTCAAACCTGATGGACCATGTTTTCAACGTCTTGGAACAGTATGCATCTAACCTAGAAGAAGAGGTACCCTACTTATCTCTTGCTACCAAATTTTAATTAAAATTTTCTAAGGTGGAAGCTAGGATGAAGGAACTTACAGAAGAGAAAAAGAAGAGCGACATACTACTTTACCGGATGTTGCCTAAGTGGGTTTCCTACCAATTTTAGCGTCAATTAGTCACAACATTTTTAAGCTTGAGATTGTAGGCAAGTAGCCGAGCGCCTGAAGATGGGCCAACCAGTGGAACCGGAAACTTTCGAATGTGTGACATTATTCTTTTCTGATGTTGTCTCCTTTACTACTCTGGCTAGTCGATGTACACCGCTACAAGTAAGTCTTGGCTGTTCGCTTTTTACCATGCGATAATGAACGTGACGAGTGGGTGGAAGAAGGAACGGCTAAGAAGTTTGTGGAAGAAAGGCATGCAAACAATGATTTGATTTGAGCGTAGGTGTGTATGAAACAGTAAGCAGATAAAGAAATTTTTAGGACATCAGCGAGAGCAATTTTTTTACTACCACATTTTTTGTTGGATGAATAGGCGCGGCGTTAGGCAGGCCGTCCGATAATTCTTCTGAAATTTTTTTTCGAAATTCTCTAGTTTCAAACCCACTTCGAAAAATGGGTTATGGCTAATGCAAAGAAAATTATATTAGTCTCATCTTTATGAATTTTTTTAGAAAAATTTCAGCTG